TCACGGAATGTGTGTATCCCCATGCTTGTGTGTTTGTCCAATCAGCCTCGGCGTAAATGTACGTGTGGCTTTCTGATTGAATTAACCGGAGCCCTTTTCATAGAGAAAATTGGTAGCGTACCATTTCCTTGAGTGCTTACGAGAGAACCGACACGCTGTGCGAGTGTCCGTGGAGACCTGACTCAATCTGCATACGATTGCCCCACAGCAGACCTGTAACCCAATTTATGAGCCGATCACCTCCTCGCCAGAGGAGTGGCAGTCACGTGGAGAAGGGACACGAGGACACGACGTTTGTTAAGCTTTACTGTGGTGACCTTTAAACTACAAATGCATCATAGTTTGGGTTGTTTATGCATCGCCTTGGTCGCATCTGTGTCATGTCTTTTTAGCAGTCGAGGCAGACGAGATTGTTTTATTTGAATATATTTCACAACACGGACTCTATATGTATTCAGTTGGACGACTAAAAGGCAAACTAGGTTCTATAAATCTATACTCCTTGTAATGCATTTTTAAATTAGAAAAACAAATGGATAGGTAAGTGGAAAACAACTGGCGCAGAGATTCCATTGTGATCTGGAGTGTGGCTGGAGTGAATATAACACAATAACGTTTAAATATGTATGTATTGAAAATGTAATTTAGCCCTAAGAATCAAAAGACCATTTTGGAAATTTGCTCTGCCCTAACCTTCATGGTAATAAATAATTTCCGTTTAAACCTTGGGTGATGTTATTTGCAAATAGTGTTTCGTACGAAAAAAGTCCAATGCATATATGCGGCCAATTACCTTCGGCGTCGTTTTCCCCTCGCCATACATCTCACATTCTCAGTTTGGCTTGTGTTCATAAGGATGAAAGCCTTTTTTTTTTAAATAAATGATGCCCCAGTCTTTTACACAAGTGGACCAATGAGATAAACATGACAAACATAAAGACTGGGCAGGTCTGACAAATGGCTCCGTCTTGGCTTAATGGCGTGGTTAAATCGGGATATGGCTAAACCCCCCATTTCGACGCGGCGTCGGTGCTTGTGGCTCTATTAAGTCCTGATTTCCATGCAGGCCGTCGTGCAAACGTTTGTTCAGTGATCATTTGGCAGAGCAGCCGACAGTTACCAGTTACCGCTCCTCCAGCTGACAAACAGAAGCGTTTGGAAGCCTGGAAAGGCTCCCGGGGATCCGACGGACTGTTTGCTCAGGGGGCGGCGCGCAACCACAAACAGCACTGGCGCCCGGCGGCCCAAGACGGGGAAGAGCCGCGGTTGTTCTTTCTCACAAAGCAGATTGGCCAATTCCCCCACCAATTGTGATCCGGCAGAATGGAAATCTGTTGAGCTGGGAAATGTTAATCGAGTTCAATTAGGCTGTGCACCATGTTTGTTTCCTGCCAACGGATTACGCGGAATCGTCGCTTACTGAGATGAACGATGACCCTCTGTCAAAATAAAACGGGCCGTTTGAGGATAGGTGGAAGATAACGGATATCGGGTGCTGGCTAGCTCCTCGTGGCGGCATCAGAGATAATGGCCGACAGTCCTTTGAAACAGTTGGGCTGGAGTTCACCCCTAGCGGGAAATTAATTTAGTTTTCTTGATGCGTTTTTATTGTTTTCCTGAATTCTCAGTGAATCTGGCGACGCGTTGAAAATCCAGAGCACTAATCGAGTGCTTTAGGGTGATTGGAAAGGCGTTATTTCTACAATTTCACTGTTGAAAACACCCACTGTACATGTTACATAAGGTTTTCAGTTATAATTATTATTCTCTTTTTTTCATATCTCTTTTTATCAGATGCATGCTAATGTATATGCTATTAAATAATGTAGCGCAGACTCCACATGTATTTATGTTTCACTGTGCCATCTGTGGAGATGCCTTTGTCCTATGGGGACTGTCATGCTGTCTACTCTCAGGCTGTGTCCCTCTGTGGGTCTAAATGTGTTCACGTAGATGTGCAGTTAAGTGGGCACATAAAGTAGCTTTGAATCTCAGTTTTCAAATTTGTCAATGTTATCTCGCTGAACAAAACAGGCATGTATGGAGTTGTAAACAAACGTTGTTGTAATTATTGTAGGTGATGTTAATATTACCATTGAGTTGAACTAGTGGAAGTTGGTTTCTTTTTTTCTAAATATTCCAATACAGTGAACCCTTGGCTCAGTTAGTTTTCACGATGAGATTATTTGCTCCCTGTTAAGGGACCCGGTGGATCCTGAAGGTTGTGTTAACATAACGTAAAAGAGATTTATTGTCTCACAGGTGAGTTCTGATTACAGTGTAAGACAACGGCTTCTGTGAATCTAAGAGAAGGATAACGTCACGCACACTTTGGCCCGACTAATCTTGTTCTCGGTTTGAGCCGCGGCCTGCTTCCGTGACCTTCTCCGCTCCCCTGCTGTGTTTAGAGGCTGCGCGAGTAAAGCGCTTCCGTTTTAGTAAATTTGGAATCATGATTATGAGTGAGACCATCTTGGCTGTGGTTGTCTCGACTCAAGCCTTCAACTTTTTATCAGGCACAAACTAATTAGCGAGTTCTTGATAAGCGAGGGTAGACCCTGCGTTGCCGTGGCAACAGTTGGACTTAATCACAACGAAAGGAATGTGGTGTCGGTTGGCTGGCAGAGCGCACACCGCCCTCTTAAGCGTTTGCATCTGCTTAATTTCATTTCTAGTTATTCACTCTTCACTCTGGTTGTGCAGTTTAGGTTGTTTCCCCCCCCCTTGTTTTGCTTGCGGGACGACCCACTTACTTGAGGAAATCAAAAGGAGGTTTTGAGGCGTACGGCAAAGGGTGGCTTCCGAACGCAGTGATCTTGCGAGATGAAGACTGACTTGTTATTGAAGATTAAGGATTTTGTCAGATCGGGAAAGGTGCTGCGGATGTCACGTGGAAGCTATCGGCAGAATGAGCTGTCAAATCTACCGTGCAGTCAAATTACAGGGCTAATGACAAATTGAGTATATTTAAAAGCAGCGTTCACCCTCAAATAGCTTTTTATTTGTCATCTTTAGTGTTAATTTAATTTAAGAACTACTTCATGCAGTATTCTTTATTTAATTTTTTCTTTAAAACTGATTTTTCCCCAAATCCTTTCAACATCCTTGAGAGGAGATGGTCGGTGAGATATGCAGCTATTAGAAATTAGTCATCGAGAAAAAAGGAGAGGCCACTATCATGAGGTCATATGTGAAGGGAATCCACCAAGCATCCAAAATGTGCAGATTTACTGCTTTTTCTGCTTTATATTATTGTAAACAAAAAAGCTCTTTTGGACATTTTGACAAACCAACTGTTCACAGATTGAACTCCTGGGGGACCAATGTGCCCCCCAATCCCCGTTACCCCGGTTCTCTGTACATTATGTACAGTTTTCCTACGACGGCTTCGGTAATTAGATTAAGTCTTAATCTAGAAATACTCATTATGTAAACTCTGCACGGCTGCGTTCTTCAACTCTGATCAATACACACAAATATCTCTTTCTGCTGGTTTTTGGTAACTGATGTATCTTTTGCTATTGAACGCCCACCAGTGTCGCTGCCGCCGCTCCCAGCGTGGCCCCTGCCGTACCACACAGCACAGCACAATGACACAAATCAGCGTGTTTTAATCAATTCAACGACAACATCCCTCCCCCGGTTACCCGCTACGACTCCCTGCAACCTCGCTGATTGGTGCCCGAGTTGCGTCTCATTTATAGAGGCTCAATTAGCGAAGCCTGTTGAGTGTTCGGCAGCTGTGCTCGCCAGCTGTTTTGAAAGGAAGAGAGATGCAGCGAGGTGAGGCGAGGGAAAATAGGATGTCAAGCACAGGAAGATGGGGGGGGGGGGGGGGGTGTTATGAGGCAAGAGCAGGATGAAAGCTTGTATTTGATCCGGGTTGGGCCCAGTTATTTTTTTTAAATATACGGCACAGTAAAAATAGCTGCGCGAAATAAGTGTTTTTGTATCATAATTGGTCAAAGCGTTCTCCTCTGCAAACTCGGTAGCTTTTATCTCGTTCATACGACATTTATATTACGAATTGAGTCATTTTCCCTATTGTAAAGCTGTCATTCCAATGGGATCCCAACATGGAGGGAATTGGTTTCATCTCCCAGGTTACCATTGGGATTTTCTCAAGTCCAAACAGGGAAAGCTGAGATAAGCCCACAGACCGCTTACTAACTCGCTAATCTTGCTTCATGAGCACAGCTCACTTGAAAGTGCTTTTCTTGCATTTGTAAAATTCACCCAACTGCTTTACGTGTTTGATAACGACTGTTGCTTACTGCGCTTACCTCAGGGTTTCTTTCCCGACTCTCTATTGGCGAGAATCTCAATGAGCAACCCAGGTGATGGTGTTATCTGCGTGACTTTTCACCGGGGCGTCTCGGAAAGAAATTATAACGGCAATTCAATATTGTGTTTTGGTTTGGTTTCCAAAGATGGGGAAAAAAAGCCGGAGAACCAAAACCGCCTGCTGTGCACGCGCAGCGCAGTTGTATTTGATCTCTGTAACTGCTCTCGACTGACTGTTGGAGGGCTCCATCAATTGTCCCATCGCGGGGACCCCCATTGCTCTGCCTTGACATGTGCAGCGACGCAACAGGAGACCAGCTCTGTTTTTCCTTTTTATACGAGCCAAAACCTCCTTTGAGACCGGGGGGGTCGGCAGATTCACTGCAGCTCCTCGCTTCCTCCGGTCCAATGTAGATGAGGGCCATCACCGTCGTTTATACCGGTATTGACGGGGCCCCAGACCCAGCGTGTTGCCAGTAGACTCAAATGTACGTACCACAAGGTGACGCGCCAGTCAAACATAAATACGATAATGTTTGCAGGTGAAGGCGGGAAGAAAGAAGGCAGACTGATGGCAGCAGGGAAAGTGGTCTTGTGGTCGCCGCCTTCCCCTTCCATGGTTACAAAAAGCCCCCCCCGCTTGGCTCGGGGGGTACGATGTGCATTGGCTCCAGCGAAGACGCTTAATTCTCCTGTCCTCTGTCCTCTTCTTTCAGTGGAAGGCTGCACGGATTGGTCGGTGGACTACCTGAAATACAAGGTGCTTCTGGGGGAACCCGTGCGGATTAAGTGCGCTTTGTTCTACGGATATATCCGGGCCAACTACAGCCATGCGCAGAGCGCGGGGCTCAGCCTCATGTGGTACAAGAGCGCCGGGCACGGGGACTTCGAGGAGCCCATCAGCTTCGACGGCGCCAGGATGAGCAAGGAGGAGGACGCCATATGGTTCCGCCCGGCGGAGCTGGACGACGTGGGGTACTACTCCTGCGTGCTGAGGTAAGTCCCTTCAGCACCTACTTCATTTCTATCTAATGTAAAGTCTCTGCTTGTATTGTTTTGACCTTGAACAGGAGAAAGCATTTATGAGAACGTCCTTCACCATCTCTGGTTTGTTTTGCCGGCATTGCGACGGTTATTTAGTGGGGGTAAATAACATTTTGTAGAACCCTGTGGGCACGAGTGAAGCTATTCTGAAGGCCTCCCCTGGTGAGATCTAATGCGGTGTCTCATCTCTGGCCAAAGGAGCTCTGGTCGTTGCTCCACAGTGCATCCTCCAACAGTATGAGGCCGCTTTGCTCCGCTTTCTATGCTAAATGATTTCTTTATCCATCTCTGGGGGGGCAATAAGCCATTAGGTGCAATTGGTAAATCCCTAACTCTCAGGCCCTCAGTCCTTCTTTCGATAAAATAACCATGAAAGAGGGCGGAGGGAGGTGAAAGAGAACGGACAGTAATAAAGTAGGAAAAGACTGAGGAAATGGAAATGGCAGAGAAGATTAAAAAAAAGAAGAAAAAAGACATGGGGTGATTTGTGATTTTTTTCCACTTGCCTGATAGTGGTAGACAATTGTTTTTTTAGCCCTTTAATGTGGCGAAATTCCTGGCCTCCTGGCTCTAATTGGCAGAAGTTTTCAATAACACAGTTGTTATCTGGAGGGAGGACAAGAGGAACCATGAACACATCTCCCTCTCAGACAGGAGCCTAACCCTTTCAGAATTCAGAACAACCCACACAAACCTTTAGATTTCCCTCCAAACACAAATGATCTGGGACACTTTTCAAACTGACAGAAAGAGACTAATGTACTCTGGAGCAGTTGCACTCAGCACAGGCCTCCTTGGCTTTCACAAGCTCATCTGAACGAGGTTTTGGCCATTGCTATTCATCGCCATTAGCACCCTCCCCTTTGCCGAGGCGGCCGCCGTGAATAGGAGACAGGCAGCAGCGATCCAACAATCCCCCATTCAGGGACATTGGCAGCGTTTGCTGGATGTAGACAATCATTCAGCTCCCGCGTTATTGTGTAGTCACGGGGAAAGTAGCGCCGTGAGATTTGATTTGGAGTTCTGGTTGCTTTGTCGCCATTCAGAAGCAAATTAAGGGGCAACACTTATTTGCTTATTGTGGAGAGAAATAACAATCGTTCTCCATTCGGCATTTCTGTCTGCAGGCATTTGTCCGGACTGTTGTTGGCTTCCGTTGCTTTCTCCAGGCTTCGAGTCGCCACACGGATGTTCGCTTTTTGACGTTGCTTAGCACTTAATAGTTGCTTCTGAAATTAAATAGCCAAAGCTCTGACCTTTTTTCTTGAAAACGCCCTCAACGATTTCCGTGTTAATCAAAGCTTCCCATGCACCTTGGGGGTGATCCCATTAGCTCCAGCTCAGCAAGACCATGTCATGATGACAATACTCCCACGTGTGATTACATGTAGATCAGTGACAAAGTTATGTTAAAAAATATCATCTTGTTTATCTTTTCATTGGGGAAATAGGCAACAGAAGGTAAGACCCTGGCAGATTAATTCTCACTTTTTGCTGCATTTGATTTGAAGGCAGCTGAATAATATGCACTTTCTTTTTTATAAGGTAATAGGGGCATTCGCTCTGTATCGGCTCATTATTTAGCTCTGCGCAGCGACATGCGGTGGCTTTTAACAGTGGGATTGCTCTGGACGGAGGGTTATTGGTTACTGCGTGCGTGTGTGTGTGTGTGTGTGTGTGTGTGTGTGTGTGTGTGTGTGTCACATGTTTAGTTTAGTGCAGCTTTCTGAAATGCACAGCGATGACTTTCCCCCACGGGAGCATCAAATTGGAATGATTTATAGTTCTGTATTAACATGTGAGCCGCAATAAAGATGGCAGGGGCTCAATCCAGATGACTGACAATGCAATGCTTTAAGGGAGGCCGACTTCTGATTGCTTTCCTCTTATCAACGAAAACTGAATCGCTCCGTGGTGGAAAACGTCTGAAAATCTCCCCCATATTACACGGTCACATGATGTTTTCCAAAAGGAGAAAGGTTAAAGGGAGCGTATCCAAAGCACCTTTATAGTAATAACACTTGACCTACTGCTATTAAAGCTATTGACCTTAAATGTCAACAGTTGGACGTTTGCCACCACATTTGCTTTTGACACTTTTTCCTCATTCTTTCCCCCGAGCTTTGAAAATGCTTAAAAAAAAAAATTGCACAAATGGGTTTGTCCAATTTCTTTCACGAGCACACAGCAGCGCTGTTACGCGGACGTGACTCATTTCAATTCCCAGTCAGCGCGGCCAAATCCGCTGCTCTTCTCTTTTGTCTCGGCGGCGTGGGTCCTATAGATGATCAGCGCTCGCATATGTTAACACATCACATTTGGATTAGGCGGTTGGCAGAGTGTTTTCCTTGAGGATCCTCACCCTTTTGAAACGCGAAGGGGATCTGGGGAATTAGAGCGCTGAGCGTTGGAACAAATGAATCACAGCTCCACAATAAATCATCTCTCACTGGATGCATTTCATACTCGAGCATGTTATAACAATCCATTGCCAGTTTACTATGCTCCCATGATGTTATTGTCTCGAGGCGAGTATCGAGAATGTTTGTCCTCAAATAGCATCTAGACATGTTTGTTTTAATCTTAATTATTTAAGCCATTGTCATCAGTCACCATTCCTCTTTGACTATTCAAGAATCAAGCGAGACAATGGTTTTATATTCTTGTTTGATCAATCGGCACTAGTGGAATAATATCATGATAAAGTATTCATCTCCTGCACAGCTACAATTGTGTTTCTTTAGACCATTTTTTCAACCTTTTTCCTATACAAATTGAAAAGTACTTGTAATAGTTCCCACTGATTATGCTTCACTGTCTGGAAAGCAACGGGGGAATGTGTTGAACAATGATATTATTCAGCAGAGCTGGATAAAAACGGAGGCAGGTGGGAAAAGAACAAAAGGGTAAGAAATTGGAAGCGTAAATCAACTTTTATCATTTCAATATCCTCACCTTGCAAGAAATTTCTAGAATTCTGCAGACATATCCGGTTGTTGTTGCTAAAACTTGAATTGTTTCATGTAATTTCTAATGTGATGATAATCTCTTAAAACACTCTCTCAAGTGCTGCTCCTCCTGTCTTCATGCAGCTCCTTTACTCAAAGTCTTAAATGTTTATTGTCTCCAAAATGTACAACATTTTGTGCCCCGCGTCCTTATGTCCCCATCTAATAGACACTATTTAAATGTTTTCTGCACCTGTGCAAAGGACACATGCACATTCATGTCCTGCTTTATGGTTCTATACTGAGACAAAGTGATTTTTGTTTTACTTTAACCTCATGCTTGGGTTAAATACGCTGTAGCTGCTCCACTGAGAGTTCATGACGTGAATCTCACACGGCATTAGTCACTCCCTGTCTCCTGTCCACGGTACCGGGGACGAGATTTGTCCGCCAGCTGTCATGGGCGTTAATACACCAGGCAAAGCTTAATACACCCACATCCACTGGCCCACGGGCCAGGGAGCGCGCACACTGACGCGGCGCTGCTGGCCCCTCCTGCCAGTTTACCGCCTGCGAGTCCAAAGTGTTACCGCCCGGTCAGAATGATGTTCTCCCGAATGGATGATTCAAAGCAAATTGTGGTGGAGTGGTTTGGTTCGCGCAGTTTGTCCAGTTTAAAGCACAGCCTGTTGCCCCTAACAACCAATTGTGTCATTGTGAATGTCGATTGAAAGACGTATCTATGTTGATGAATGATATTTCATACCACCCAGGCCTTGTGAGGATAGAAGTTTTTGTTTTACTGGCAGCCATGTGAAGTATAATGTGAATATGCTCTGTGAGCAGCTTGATCATGTGGCATAATATAGATGAGACACATCTGCACAGGGAAAACATAAACATCTTTATAAGCGTTGCAATGAGCAAGTTTGAAGGCTGAAAAGCAGCTGTGGAAATTGTCCTCACAGTGCAGATGAACCTACTTTCAAGTACTTTCTTAGTCAAGAGGCATGTTCTCAAACTTCATTTGGCAAGAATCACTGTGTAATAAATAGAAATAGAACTACAACATAAGAAAACAACAATGTAGTTCCTGATTGCTTGTTGTTTTTGGTGCCCTCTCAGACAAACATGCACATGTTATGGTTTTGGACGTCACGTCCATCGTGATGTTACACAGTGTTTACGCACATTTGCGCAGCTGCACTTAAGGGTGTCAGAGGGCATCGTTGTACTCTAGTACAAACTCACACACGCATAGACAGACACAACATGTCAGTTCTCTGCTCCCCTGGGTCTAGCTGCCCCTGACATGAACGTAATGTGCCTCCGATATTTATGTAAAAGCTGACCAAGTGAATACACACACTCGACATTCTGAGCATGTCCGCATGTCTCTTCAGCTCATGAACACACACACACTATTTTACACGCATTACATCCATGGGACGAGGGGCTGCTCACGCCACGGTTTAAAGTGGAAGTGAGCAGATGAGACGCGCCGTGTGTCAAATCAGGGATGTTCAGATGCTGTGCCCGGAGGAGTGCCTGTGCACGCAGAGCAAAAACATCTGCAGCGTGGAGTGATGGGAAACACAGACACACACACACACACACACACAGGGCACCCTGGTACATGGAAGATTCCACTAACTCCCACACGCTGCTGCTTTTGTTGTGTGTTTGCTGGTTTGGGGTTGGATAAAATCATTTGTGCTTTATTCCATTTATTTGTCGTCTACTTGTTTGAAAATAGAATCAATACCGTCCACACAAAGTGTGCAATTTGAAAGAAAAAAAAAGTTTCTAACTGGTAGAAAAATAAAGAGCAAATGCTGTAATGGCGCTGTGTGCTGAAAGTGAGCTGGCGTTATTGTATTATCCAGTTCATCCCGATGTCAGTGCAGACAGCCACCGCTCACCTTGCGTTCACCTCAATCTCACAGAGTTCAATCACTTCCAGCTCTCTGCCGGAATACAGTCTGTGCTGCCTGTCTGTCTCTG